TTTTATATGCCATGTGAGTCAGAATATTACCTCTGGCTATTGTTATTCCTGGCAACAGATAAGTGAGTTATCATTGGCATTAATCAAGAAACTGCAATGTTGCATACAAATATTAAGAGTATTTATAGGCTTTATATTAGAAAAGTTTCTCAAAGGAGATTTGAAATCAGTATAAATTTCAAAAGTATGGCCACAGAGAGAGCTGTGGAACTTTTTGACTCCTGGAATAAAACTGGGGCCTCTTTTTCCATTTGAACATAGTTCCTTTCAGAAGAAGACAAAGTCCTAGAATAATATCAAACTGGCACTCTGTGTTGTTTGGCATTGTGACGAAACATAGTTCCAATATTGTAAGGAAAAGTGTATGTAAGCAGCAGCTATTTTTTTTCATAATGAAGCAAATAAGTTTTTTTTTTTAAATTTCTAGAAAGCATACACATGCTGTTAAGATCAAAATCAAGTGAAGTGTTAATACCAATTTACAATGCCTTGGTAAGGCCACACTTGGAATACTGCATCTAGTTTTGGTCACCGCAATGTAAAAAAGATGTTGAGACTCTAGAAAGAGTATGGAGAAGAGCAACAAAGATGATTAGGGGACTGGAGGCTAAAACATATAAGGAACGTTGCTGGAATTGGGTATGTCTAGTTTAACGAAGAGAAGGACGAGGGGGGACATGATAGCAGTATTCCAATATCTCAGGGGCTGCCATAAAGAAGAGGGAGTCAAACTATTCTCCAAAGCACCTGAAGGCAAGACAAGCAACGGATGGAAACTAACCAATGAGAGAAGCAACCTAGAACTAGGGAGAAATTTCCTGACAGTTAGAACAATTAATCAGTGGAACAACCTGCCTCCAGAAGCTGTGAATGCTCCAGCACTGAAAGTTTTTAAGAAGAGACTGGACAGCCACTTGTCTGAAATGGTATAGGGTTTCCTGCCTGAGCACGGGATTGGACTAGATTGGACTCCAAGGTCCCTCCCATCATCATCATCAATCATCATCATCATCATCATCATCATCATCATCATCATCATCATCATCGCACAGTCAGCCAGATGTTCAGACTGGATTTGGCATTTTGTCTACCTATCGAGTCTTTACCCAGGACCTGGGATAGGCAGATGTGGATGTTTGATGGTATTACAGATATCGTCGCAGGATGGAAGCAGTTCCTAATAAGGCCGCCTTTTGCAATTGACTAATAGTGAATTTGTCAATGCCAATTGTGTTCAAGTGGTGCTCCAGTTGTTTGGGATTGCACCCAAGGAGCCTATGACTATTGGTACTACCCTTGCTTGCTTTTGCCACAGTCTTTCTATTTCTATTTGTAGGTCTTTGTATTTTGTTATCTTCTCCTGGTCCACTTTCTTATTAAAAATTAAATATGCATGTCAACCATACATTAAATCCCACCCTTCAAGAACAAGAATATCCTTATTTGTTAAATTAAGCCAATCACTTATCCAAGTTAAGGCAGCTGCATCATAGTATAATTTCAAGTTAGATGCTTTAAGTCCTCCTCTTTCTCGGGCATCTTGCAAAATCTTAAACTTAACCCTTGGTTTTTTTCCCAGCCCAAATGAATTTATTGATACCCTTCTGCCATTCCTCCAAATTTACATCTTTTTTAAAAATAGGTATCATCTGAAACAAGAAAAGAAACTTTGGTAGAACATTCATTTTTACAGCTGAAATTCTCCCCCACAGTGACAATTGCAGTTTTTTCCAGTCATTTAAATCCTTTTGCACTTTTGCCCATAGTAATTCATAATTATTTTTATACAATTTTCCATTTGAGGCAGTTAAATATACTCCCAGATATTTAACCTTTTTCACCATCTGAAAACCTGTGGCTTTAACCAAACTTTCCTTGTCATTGGCTAACATATTCTTAAATAATATCTTAGTCTTATGGTTATTGACTTTAAAACCAGAAACTTTTCCATACTGTGTTATAAGTTCTAATAGACAATCAACCGCTCTAATCGGTTGTTCCAAAATCAAAACCAAATCATCCTCAAAAGCTCGTAATTTATACTCATTTTTTCTTATCTTTATGCCCTTGATTACCGTTGATTCTCGAATCTGGATCAACAAAATCTCCAATGTTAAAACCTGAGCAGCTCTTCTCTTCCCTTTCTCCCAGGGAGGAGATTCAAGCCGTGGGACAGCTGATTGTCAAAGTCCCGCAGCTTTTACACAACCCAGGAACGGGCTGCTTTGTGAAAAGCAGCCATCGTAGCTGCTTGATCCACCGGAAGCCCTTTAACTAAACATCTTTGACTGGATAAATATACAAAGCAACAATATGGAAGCTATGGAATGCCCTGTAATACTGAAAGTTCTGACTTCACATTCTCTTTTTAATTGAAGTTACAATTTGTCAAATTGCTACACAATTTCCTGAAGTATACTAGCAAGTTATTCAACTTTTGATTTCATAATTAGGATTTAATCAAAGCACAGCATTACATCCAAGATTCCCAAAAGCAGAATCTCTGAAATGATGGAATATCCCAGACAGTACGGAAATTCTGGAAAGGGCAGATTCCAAACTTGAATTGTAGAGCAGATAATTTCCTATGTTGGCTAATGGCAGTTAGTCATCTGCTACAGTATCAGCAACAGCTAGTTGTACATTTTTAGTCTCTATTCATGCCTTCTCCAATTTTTATTGACTGCTCCCTATCCCCATTCCAAGAACAGCTGGCAGTACACTGCAAGCAATATTAATGTTGTATAAATGCCTTATTTACAGTGTATTCATAATCTGTATGAAGTCTATTTTTTATATTACATTTAATACTGGCCTGGAGCATTTATGGGGATGACAGTGAAATCAAAGACCTACCCCTTTTATGCATGTATTAATGTCATGCATTTACCAAGGAGTATGCTTTTAATCAGGCAGCTGTAACTATCATGTTGGCTTTTTGTAACAGAATGTTTGAATGAACCTGGGGGAATGAAGGGAAGAGATGCAGTGGTAGGATTCAAATACGTGAACAACTGGTTCTCTGTGTGGATGCCACTTCAGGACATCCGTTCTGGGCCTGGGCAACCAAAAAATAGCTACCATACTGGTTTTGCTGAACTGGCTGAATCCCACCACTGAAGAGATGTTACCTAGGAAACAATCGGACAAGAGATGGAGCTCAATGATCAGATAAAAAAGCTTAGGATGGAGCCACCATGACTAATTAGGAGGTTAAAATTGGAGGTGGGAAGTTTGTATCTTCAGACTTGTAAGATTCTGTTAATGCAGAATTACAATAAAGTAGGATTAGCTCATCTAGTCATGTTTCCTGACTGGTTTACTTGGAAGTAATATTTTTTATGTTTTTTGAATAGACACAATTATTATTCAATATTTCATTGCATTCTCTTTGTTATTTATATCATACAGCCTTTCATTAATTAGGTATTATGCAACCTAATGGGTGAGTACATTGATATGAATTGACAAACGCTCAAATGCACAGGAGTTATTTACAAAATGTCACAAACTGAATTTAAAGTCAGAAAAAATTATAATGTAATACAATGCAATACATTTTTGTAGAACTTATTTTCAAACTTTTCAGAATTTGAGAGTGTTGATTTGCTGTAGCTAACACAGTGAAGAGGTTTCTGGAACCTTTAATGACAAACAAAATGAATATTCTGTTTTCAATATGAGTATTCTAATTTGTTTTTTAAAAGAATAAAAATTATGGAAAGTATAGGACTCAGTGATTCTGATAGATTGAATGTATCTGTAAAATGTTTGTGCCACTATTTTTTCAATGCTTATCTACTGTGGTTTACCCCCATTGGTGGGGCTGTCATAAGGTTCGTATGCATAATGTGTTGCAGTTTGTGAAATCTGCACTAGCAGCTTGATTTTTTAAAAAGTTCAGATGAATTGTTCTTAGAATAAAAAATAAAAAAGTAATTTGTGTCTGTTAGTGCTCAAGTCCTCAAAGGTGCAATCTGTGCTAGAACCTTTTTGATCATACTAATATGTTATGGCCTCTGCAAACAATAACAAAACTGGATCTATCTGCTGCAGACAATTCTAATTATGAAATTTTAATCTCATACTTTCACAACTTGCAGAGGTTTTGGGGGTTGTGTGTGAAGACTTTTACAAGTTTTACATCCCTATTAATATGGATGTGTTTGTGTGTTGCATTTCATGGGAAACTAACTTGCTTCTACACAGAATCATTTCACTGACAGAATGAAATGGAAATCCTGAATGGTTGTGAAACACTTATACCATCTGATTTCTATAGGTCTACACTAGAAAGAACACAGTTGGTGTCCCAATGTTCCACTTCTACTTTGTCTTTGTGTGACTTTATGGCAAATTAGATTGCTTCTTGGAGTGCTTTTGCGTTCTATCTTGTGCTCTACATCTCATAAATCAGTTTTAAATGTTAGTAAAGATTATATCAGTTCACACCTTACCTTTATTCCTTGGCCAAGACTCTCCAGGGAATTAATATCCAAACCTTCCTTGCAAGCCTGCAAGCAGGAAATCACTTTCTGACTCTTAATTTTGCCTGGTCGTATGGTAAGACTGGCAAGACTGCCATGGAAATACTGAGCAAATCTGGGCTTTGTGACTTCTCCTCCTATTGAAAATGAACCACAAATTGTCATGTCATTCATACATGCAAATTTATTTAGGAATATCAATATTCTCAGCACTGTCATATACTGTATGTTTTAAACAATTTACGTTAACTGGGCTGCTATTCTTATCAACAAAGATGTAAGAAAAAAATGGCTTACACACTATTATTTTGGAGTAAATAATTCTAATTACAATTCTATCATCATAATTGCACATATTTTAGGTGTGAAAATATATCCTAGCCTGAAATATAGCATTAAAAATTCATTTTTGTAACATATGATGGAAAAACTGTTCAGTGTAGAAACAGAATAAATTCAGCATCTCATTATGTTAAATATATAGAGAGATTCATGTTCAATATAGTAAAACAAAAAGCTGAAAATAGCATGCCAGATTTAAAAATAACATATCAGCCAAATCTAAACCAGGAATAGTAATCTCTCTGAAAGCAGAAATAGTTATGCTAAATTAACAAAATGTCCACCTATAAAATTTGCTTAGCTACAACACTAATTTACATAATACTTCTATGCTTCTCTGTAATATTCTTGAAATATAGATAAGGAAAAAATAAATAACCAGTTTCAATAATATTGGTGTGAAAAAAGTATACATTTACAGGAACAGATTGGAAAGATTTTTATGAATGTGCATGATTTCCACTCTCTTTTAACCTTCTGGGAAAGTGAATTCTTATAGAGATTTTCAAAGGATCAAGATAACGATCAAAGACCAATGAGCAGAGCAGTGATGGTGCAGTGGTTAAAATGCAATATTGTGGGCTGACTTTGCCTATTGCCAGGAGTTTGATCCTGACTTGCTCAAGGTTGACTCAGCCTTCCATCCTTCCAAGATCAGTAAAATGAGAACCCATATTGTTGGGGGCAATGTGCTGGCATTGTAAACTGCTCAGAGAGTGCTGTAAGGCACTATGAAGTGATATATATGTCTAATGCTAAGCACTATTGCTAAGTGTATGCGGGAGGAAAGATATAGCGGATATTTATGAAAGATAATAGTGGCAAAAAGTATTAATCTAAAATATGTTAAAATCAGTCACTTAGTAGTAATTCTATGAGCTATAATTACATCTATGGTACAGTTCTGCTCCATACTGAAATATTCCAGCAAAATAAATTCTGAAATTTATCAGAAGTTTCCAGAAATTATATACTGAATTTTGTGGATTTTTAAACATTAAAATACTGTGACATGTATTATGTATATATAAATATTAACAGTGAAATAGTTTTGCTTTGGAGAAAGAGATCAAGTTCCAAAGAAACAGAATTCAGAATATCATGGCATCAGTTATTATAATTGACAACATTTGCTTAAGATGATATTGGTTTATACAGCAAGAAAAATGAATGAGCAACAGATATTTTTCTGGATCTTGTTTCACAAATTGATGTAAATATGAGTATTTTTATATTAAAATGTTTCACCGTTATAAATAACTATTAGGAATAAACAGGTTAGCATCATTTGTATGAAAACATTCCAAATCTTTCCTGGGAAAGAAAGCAAGCAAAGTCTACAGCACTGATAAATGAATGGGAATCCTTATGGTTCAAGATATCATTCAGCTGAACAATCATATCTTTCAGTGCCAAACATCAGCCAGACAACAAAATTAAATAAAAGAGACAGTTCAGGTGAAACGTATTCATACATCCAGGGAAAAAAAAGAAAAAAAAGACTGAAACCACCTGCATCATAAAATTAATGATAAATCTTACTGCCACTGTAACCATCTGAGCCCAGCCAAATGTAGCCAAGCTTCAGAAGCATTTAGTTACTTACTTGTAACAATCAATAATACAATTATGTTTGCAAACTTGAAATGGCTTTTCTGTATCTAAATATGCCATGATAAAATTAACTATTTAAGTAGTTATGACAAACATTTACTCTTGTCAGTGGAGAGTCAAACACTGATACAGATACTGTAGATATCTTCATCTTAGATACACATCTCTAAGCTTCCCTCACACTTTAGTAGAATCAAAAATTTAAAAGGGATTATTTTGGCTTTCAATATCAGTCCATTGTTCAGTACATGGTATCCCATTTAAAATCTTCCTAATAGCTACTGGTTTAACTTCTTGTTTTAACACATCCAGTAAAAAGAAGCTCAGTATTTCGCTCAATAATTAATTCAGCTATTATGAAGCTGATTTTACTATCATTGTTAAAATTCATCTGATTAACTGTAACTTAATGCCATTGTCTTTTGTTATAATTTGGAAAGACAGTTGTTTAGCTTCCAGGTATGAATTGATCTCATTGTTTAAAAAAGAGGAAAATGTAAAGAAAATAAGGAGTATCTTGGGGGTAGATGCCAAGAAAGACAGGCAGAGAATTTAGATACTCCATGGATAGATTGTAACTCCATGGATAAATTCTGCACCTATGTTTTAATTAAATAATTAATGCTACTACATGCAGTTCTTAGGATGGACATTGAAAACCTTATGATTTTCACCTTTAACTCATGGGATACAAGGCAAATTGAATTCTAGCTAATTTTCTTTGCAGACCTTGATACAGAAAGATTACTTATAACTTTAAAAAAGGAACCAGTTAAATCTTGGCTTTATGGAAGATGTTTTCTTTTTATAGATAAATAATACTGCCATGTAATGATATATTTTAAAAGAAAAAAGACACATTACTAAAGTATTATTGAGGTAACTGTTTAGATGTTCAAAAAAGAACTGCAAAAAGTAAAAATAGGACAAATTATTATTTTTATTCACCAGCACTATTTTTATTCATCACTTTGAAACTTTTATTCCAATAGCATACTTGAGAGAATTTCCTAAAAAAAAAATACAAGTTTAATTGCATGCTAATAAACTGAATAATAGGAAAAATTGTGCAGATAAATGATATACATGGGGGAAAGACTACATAGAAAAATCCATGTATTTCTGGAAAAATTAATAATCTATATAAAATATATAAAGTATCACGTATTGGTTTCCTGGCACTATTTTTTTAAATCATTCTGTTTGATATTTAATAGAATGAAATAATGCACAAGTAGCTACAATATGCATATGTATCTAATTTAGACTGATTAAGTACATCCAGACTTATGGGACTGTGAACTATAATCTAACGTTATATTTTATATTTTATATTTTATATATATATATATATATATATATATATATATATATATATATATATATATTTAGCATATTTGATCTGTTCTCTTATTCATGCATTAGCCAATAATAACCATGGGGCAATTGAGAATGCTCATGCCATGTCTGTCTTCCCTGTGCAGGTGGCTAAAATGACTGCTGAGTTTTTCAAACAAGTTACTCTGAATATAGTCACAATCACTGATTGATTTAGCTTCATTAACTATAGCCAACCACAATTAAATATATTTTATATTACTATATCAATAAGGAGAATTTGGAGAAAAAGAGGGCATAGAAAGATTTTTTTTTCCTGTTTTATATCAGCAATAGGGATTACTTGTATGTTATGTGTTGAAAAAAATCATTGCAAATTATTTTTATTATCATAGCATTTTTCTACCCCTTTGGCCTTCAATCTCAATAAAAGTGATACAATCCATCATTAAAAGCCTAAAGAGTAATAAAGCCCCAGGTGAGGATTTTTTGCCAGCAGAATTATTTAAGAAATTCCTCGACTGGTCGGATCCAGTACTGGCAAGTCTTTTTACACCTGCCATATATCAGATGGATGGAAGATGGCAATAGTTGTCTTTATATATAAAAAAGGAAATAAAAAAGATCCTAGTAATTATAGGTCCATTAGTCTTATTGACCTTGTAGAAAAAATATATGCTAGGTTCCTTTTGTATAAAATTGAAATTATCATTATCATTATTATATCCTTGCAGAAGAACAAGCAGGTTTTAGACAAAACCGATCTATCATTGATAACTGCTTTGTTCTGAACCATCTAATTGCCAAATATGCCTATAAGAGGAGACCCCTGTTTGCTGCTTTTATAGACCTTACAGTAGCATTTGATACTGTAACCAGAGAAGTATTATGGAGTAAATTGACATCTCTTAAAATAGAACCTAGACTGCTAGCTTTGATTAAAGCCCTTTACGCAAGTACCTGTTTGAAGGTGTGGCATGGGGTTAATGGGGCCCTGACTAACAGAATTCACACAAATAAAGGGGTAAGACAAGGGGTATATCCTAGCCCCATTATTATTTAATCTATACATTAATGACCTGCCAGGGTTAATGAAGGATCCCATGGTACATATGCCAATGATCCTAAACATATACTGTAACAGCTTGCTCTAGGTCGATGATATGATCCTATTATCATATTCACAAGTAGGATTATTCAGGCTATTAAGAAGGTTTAACTCCTATTGCCAGGACATCTCCCTAACCATCAGTAAATCTAAATAAAAAATCATGGTGTTGAAAAACATCATGAGAGACATAGATAGTAATTAGATGGTGAACCAATTGAACAGGTTAACACCTTTGTATACTTAGGCATAACGTTTTCCAAGTCTGGATCTTGGGCTTGCCATCTTCAATGGAGCACACTCAGAGCAAAGGCTTGTTTGAATCTACTGCTTAAATTAAAGAATCATAGTTATCCAGGGTCCCAAGTCCCATTAATCAGAGTATATAAGGCTAAGGTTACTTCTCTGCTCTTGTATGGAGCAGAAGTTTGAGGTATATACTCAATTACAAGACTATAACAAATGCAATCCCAGCACCTGAGATCTATTTTGGGCATAGATGTAAGAACATCTGCTGCAGCAGTTAGAGCTAAACTGGGAATCTATACAATTCAAGCTCTATCCAAAATTAGAACATATAATTACTGGCATAAAATTAATGAAATGGAGAGTGATAGACTCCCTATGTTATGCCTACTAGAGCAGATAAAATTACAACCACAAACTTCCTGGTTCGCTAAATTTTGTAAGAAGGTAGATTGTAGGAGTGATCGTGAAATATAATTTGATCATATT